CCTGCGCTCACGCCCGCCCGTCTGCCCGCGCGCTCTTCTGTGCGCGCTCTCCCCTCCACGGGCGCTCGCGGCCTTGCTCGCACTAACGCAGCGGGAGGCAGGAGGGAAGGAGGAGGAAGAGGAAGGAGGTGCAGCTGGAGGAGAAAGGAACGGTGGAAGGAAAAGGGAAGAAGGAGGGATGAAGGGGAAAGGAAGTGAAAAGGAGGGCAAGGAAATGAAGGAAAGGAAACAGAAAGAAAATGCAGAAGGAAAGGTAGGGAAGAAGAAATGGGAGGCAGGAAAAGGAAAGGAAGGAAAAGAATGAAAAGGAAATGGGAGAAAGGAAAAGGGAGTCCAAGGGGAAGGAAGGAAGGGAAAAAGAAGAGAAAGGAAAGGGCAGGAAGGAAGGAAGGAAGAAAGGAAAGGAGAGGAAATGCAGGAAAAGGAGAAAATGAAGGAGGAAAGGAAGGAGAGGATGGGTGAGGAAAAAGGAAGGCCAGGAAAAAGGGAAGGAAAAAGGAAACAAAGCAGGAGAAAAGAGGAAAAATGGGAAAGTCAGGAGAGAGGAAGAAGGAAAGAATAAGAAAGGCAGAAAAGGATGGAAGAGGAAAAAAGGAAAGGACAGAAGAGGAAATGCAGGAGGGAAGGAAAAGGAAAGCCGGGAAAGAAGAAAGAAAAAAGGAAAGAGAGAAAAAAGGCAGGAGGGGAGGAAAAAAGGAAGGAAGAAGGAAAATGCAGGAGGGAAGGAAGAGGAAAGGCAGGAAAGAAGTTAAAGGCAGGAAAGAAGAAAGGAAAGCAAAAGCAGGAAAGAAGAAAGAAAACAGAAGCAGGAAAAGAAGAGAGGAAAGGCAGGAGGAAAGGAAAAAAGGAAATGCAGGAGGGAAGGAAAAGGAAAGGCAGGAAAGGATGATGAAAGACAGGAAATTATGAGGGAGGGAAAAGGGCAGGAAGAGGAAAGAAGAAAGAAAAAAGGCAGAAAAGAGGAAATGCAAGAGGGAAGGAAAGGCATGAAAGAAGGAAGGGGGAAAAGATGGAAGAAAAAAAGGAAAGGAAGGAAGAGGAAAGGTAAGACGGAAGACAGGAAAGGAAGGAAGGACATAAAGGAAAAGGAAAGTAGGAAGGAAAAAAAGCAGGAAAGAGGAGGGAAAAGAAGAGGAAAGGAAAGAAGGATGAAAGCAAGTATGAAGGAAGAAGAAAGGATGGATGGATGGAAAAAGGTAAGAAAGAGGAAAGGCAGGAGGGAAGGAGGGAAAAAGGAAGTGGAAATGCAGTATGGAATGATAAAAGCAAGGAAAGGTGGGAAAGAAAAAGGAAAAAAGGAAAGCAAGGAAGAGGAAAGGCAGGAAAAGATGAAAGCAAAGTGTGAAGGGAGGAAAAAGGAAAGGCAAGAAAGGAAGAGGAAAGGCAGGAGGGAAGGCGGGAAAAAAGAGGAAGGGAAAAAGGAAAGGCAAGAAGAAAACGGAAAGAAAAAGGAAAGGTGGGGAGGAAGGAAGGAGAAAAAAGGAAGGAAAAAGTTCAAGGCAGAAAAAAGGAAAGGGAAGAATAAAAGGAAAGGCAGGAAAGAAGTAAAAAGGAAAAAGAAGGAGAAGGAAATGCAGGAAGAAGGGAAGGAAAAAGGGAGGAGGGAAAGGAAAGACAAGTGAAAGAGAAAAGAAGGAAGGGAAGGGAGGAAAGGAGGGCTGGGAAGAAAGGGAGGACAAGGAAGGAGAAGCAAGGCGGGAAGGGCTGTTCCCAGCGTGTACTGTCGCTGCAGGAGAGCAAGGGCTACGACTTCGAGTCGGAGACGGACACGGAGAGCATCGCCAAGCTGGTCAAGTACATGTACGACAACCGGGACAGCGACGACATCAGCTTCACCACGCTGGTGGAGAGGGTCATCCAGCAGCTGGTAACGCCGGGAGCAGGGTGCGGGTGGGGACCTGGGGACAGACGGGGGGACGCGCACACCGACACGGACAGACAGACGCAGTATTGCCCAGCGTAACCACGCTGGCGCGGCGCCAGACTGTGCCACAGGACGTTCTGCGGCACGCACTAAGGAATGGTTTTGTCTTCCCTACCTCTGACAGTTTGTCTCAAACATAGGTTAATTTTTTTCACCATTAGTCAAGACTCGGGTGAAAAATGTCCAAATTTTGGGGCGCAGCAGTGTCCCGAGGCAGCCAGTCCGGGGGTGTGGGGTGGCGAGCGTGCGGGGCGTGGGAGCTGGTTGGGACAGAGCTGAAAATAAGTCTGCACTTGGAATCTTCCGCAAAAGCTCCATCTGGAAGAGCTGCTGACCCCTTGTGGGAACTTCACTGCACAGCGTGTGGCTCCGCGTGTCGGTTCTTGCCGAGCTGCCCGCAGGAACGGGATCCATCCCCGATCTGCCTCTCGTCCCGGAGCGCCTTGTTCGGGACACGGCTTTTCAGTGACTTGCCTGGCAGGAGCTGTAGTAGCGATAGACCCAGCACGCGTTTTGCTGGCAGACTGCGGCGGCTCGCCCGTACGGTTGCTGGCGCCGCACCTGAGCAAACGCCCCGGAGCTTTGGCGCCTCTTGGCCCTCGCTGCACTCCGAACTGACGCGGGAGCAGGTGTGCGGGTAGCCAGGATGCCCGAGTGCAGCGTCTGGGAGTGGAGCGGGCTCGTTTCGCAGTGGAGGATGAGCTCCCCGGGCTCGGGGAGGGACGCCCTTCCAGAGTGAGGTGCCCAGAGTTTTTGGTGTTTCTGAAGACGGCTGTGCAGCCGCCTGTTTGCTGCCTCCTGTTCGCAGAAACACCGGTGCAGCTCCTGTGCTGGGATTCCTGAAATGGTGGCCCAGGCCTCAAGTGGAAGGGTAACCAGTTTGTGTGGCTCTTGTTCCAGGAAGGTGCTTTCGCCCTCGTGTTCAAAAGCGTTCATTATCCTGGCCAAGCGGTTGGTACCCGGTGAGTATTGCCACGGGAAGGAGTGTTCACGTTGCGCCCCGTATGTCACTTTTTTTGCCCCCCCAAGTTAGAAGAGGATGGGGTAGAGGTTTTTTTCATCATGCTGTATATGCTGGGGTGAGGGCAGCTGTTGTTTTTCATTTTCTTTCTCTTGTTTTCCATGCATCATAACAGAAAATTCCCAAAAATGTTTTGAAAATTTCTTAGTGACCACCTGTATCACAACTGGTGTGGAACAGCTGGTTTTTGTAGACTCTGGTTGTGAGAGCTTTGGAAGGAGATGGTTTTCTCTCTTCCTTTGTGTTTGCATTTGTGGCAGCTTTTGGACAAGTCCTCTGTTTGAGTTGAAGTTGGGCCAGCCTGGTGTCCAGGTTTTCTACTCCACTTTTAAATGTCAGCATCAGTCGGGTTGGTTTAACCATACACGTGCCTAGCACAGTCTGAATTTCGGTGCTGAGAGCTGTTTGCAGACACGTAGTGAGCTGCGGCCGGTGTGTTCCCAGTTCCAGTGTCTGTGGGGTCGCAGTTACTCTTGCAGAGTTTCCACTAAACTTGAGACAGATTCCTCATGTCCTTGCGTTGTGTTTATTCAGGGATTCTTTCACTCTGCCTTGTGGCCTCCCGTGTTTGCAGCACTAACAACTTAGCTGGGAGGAGCTCGCTCTTTTTTGTTCAGTTCAGTCCCTTCAGCCTGGATGTCAGGCTGGTGAATCTTGGGGTGCCGAGGGTTGTAACTCGATGTCTTGCAGGCGAGGCAGCCCCCTGCTAATAGGAGTGCGCAGCGAGCACAAGCTCTCCACCGACCACATCCCGATACTCTACCGGACGGGTAAGCGTGAGCACCCCCTCCCCACAGGACCTGCGTTCCAGTCGCGCTCAGACCAATGTACAAAGCATAGAGTTTCACAAACAATTGTACGCTCTGGAATACATATTACACTTACATTTTCATCTGTAAATTTAACCATTATAAAAAACAGATGCCTCACTGCTTCCTAACGGAGTTGCTAATGATAGCTTGCTGCAGTGTAACGTGAAGAACCAGTCCCAGTAAGCTTTGTCTGCATTTACTCTTGGTTGATGTTGGGTAATTAGCAGTATTCCTTGATGTATATATGTAACGTGCTTTTTTTTCCCACTATTATCTGAAGTTTGTTTTGTTTATTTTTTTTTTCAATTACACTTTCAGCTGTACAATCTATGGATCATTCTTTTGATGGAATATCCATAAATACGGAGGAAGGTGCTGACCAGAGAAAGTCTAATGCTTGGAATTTCAGACAAATCCTCCAGTTCCTTAGGAAAGGAATCATCAATGAGACAAATATGCATTGTCTCTTTAATATGTGGTTATTGCTTTCCGTGTAGTGAAACAAATGGGACAATCAGAATTCCTGCTTGATCAGAAACACCATGAGCAACACATACACAGGAAAATCCACCCACCAGTCCACCCATCCCATTTCAGATATCCTGACATGCTCAGCATATGCGCAAAATTGATGACTTAGCGCAGGTTGTGCTGCATGTTCCCTGCAGCTCTGATTACAGAAGGAAACAGTAAATTACCTTAAAAAAAAAAAGAAAAAAAAAAACAAACCCACAAAACAGAGAGAGTGAAACCCTGTTAGGAGGCTGCTGACAATCCCAATGCAAGCATTCTCCAAAACTCCTTCTGGAGTTCAGATTGTCGGGGAGCGACGTCCTCCCTCCTGGTCGTAGCATGAATCTGAATTGCAGCTTCTGGTAGAAGCAGTAAGGTTGACCTGAGGCTGGAACTTGCTTCCCTTTGCTCACTTCTCAGGGTGAACCATTTTTAATTTATGTTAAGTACTTAATTTTTTTAAGGGCTAACCCATCGTATGTGATGTGATGAACTTAAGTTCACATGCGAAGCAGGAGAGCGCTTTTCTGTAAGAGGAGAGGATCTGATTCTTAGCTACTGTAAATAAATGGGATTCCAGCCTCAGGCACTGACAGCTTAGTGGGTGAAATCTCTGCGCTTTTGCCAGAGGAGAAACAAACCTCAGTTTGTTGAAAGGTGAACTATGTTTGTTCTCTGTCAGGAGCTGGTTTACCTGGATCCGAATATTAGGTGAGGTTTTGTTTCTTTTCACCAAACGTATCTCTCTGAAGTCAGTGCAAAGTGTTTAGAGTAAAATTCTGAAGTCAGGTTAATTCCCAGGGGCTTTAAGAACCAAAGTCCCTCAGCTGTCAGAGGCACTAAGGCTTTTCTGAAAAACGGACCATATGAAATGTGGATTTGAGTATCTGTGACTGTAATCATTGTTTCATTAGCTGTGTAATGCTGTCATCTGAAAACACCTCTTACAGAAATCAAAACTTTAATGCTGCTCAAGCAAGCGTGGAAGAATCTATTAAGAAGCGGCTATAGGAATCTGTGCTGTAGTACCTTTGCAGAACTTGCCCCGTACTTGGGATTGTCGTAATGGAGAGCGAGGTGGTATCAAAATAGACTCAAAACGTACCACCCCCTTGCTCCCCCGCCCAATTTTTATTATGCCTGTGTTAATTCTCTGTGATGTCTCCATTCTTTGATTTAGAAGGGAAAAGATTAAAAGATTACTTCTGTGTTGCTGCTCAATTCTAGTAAATGGGAGGTAGGTGCTGTAGAGCAACAATCCAGGTTATCCATGGATAAATCTATGGACAAACCCATCGTTAACATAACCATAATTGGCTGATAATACTCACTGTAACTTTTCAGTCGCTCCTTGGTACGTGCATGTGTATGTGCACAGTAAGAACACGTTCCAGTTACAGCTCGGTGTAGAATCTGTAATACAGGAAAGCAATGCAACATAATAAAGTCAATGCAGGGAAATTGTTGTATTTTGAGAAACAAAATTTGCATGTTTTGATCAAGTATGGGTGCTTCCGTTGGAGACCGGCCGCTAATGCCTTTGCTCCGTCCTTTCTCAACAAATCAGTCTGTCCTGTCTCAACTCGACAACAAAGGGGTTGTTTTCCTCCTTTACTGACTTAGTAAATGAAGTGGAGGGCTCTAAATTGTTGGCTGGGTGGAACCTTCTTACGGAGTATCAACATGAAAGCAGTATTTTTTGTTCCTGTACATTTTCATTTACAGAAGTATAAATCTAAACTCATGAGCTCTACTTAACAGCGCTGAATCAGATCAGTATCCGGTAGGTGAAACACAACATTAGAGCTTATGAAATAAATATATTTATAAAT